GCTGCAGCAGCAGCAGCAGCAGTGCTGCAGCCACTCAGCAGCCCGCTAGGTAGTCTGCATTCCCTGCTGCTGCAGCTGGCTGATCAGCAGCAGCAGCAACTGCAGCAGCAAACTGAATCAGAAAGTATTACTTCCTCTATTGCTTCTGCTGCTGCTGCAGCAGCAGCAGCTAGCGCAAGATGGGCATCCTTGCTGCTGCAGCAGTTAATGGATATCCTGGTAAGGCTTGCTGCAGATAGAGGGAATATACACCGCAGCAGCAGTAGCAGCAGCAGCAGCAGCTGCTGCTGCTGCTGCTGCTTGAGTGTTCTTGTTGCTGCTGCAGTTAGTGTGTCGTGTATGCATGCGTTGTATGCTTCGTGCTGCTGTTGCTGCTGCTGTGTCTTGTGTGCAGCACAATGCGTTAGCACATCTTTCTTCAGCAGGTGCAGCAAGCAGCAGCAGCTACAGCAGCAGCAGCAGCAGCAGCAGCAGCAGCGAGGGGTGCAGCAGCGGAGGCTGGCTACCTGTAGATATTGGCTATTTATATTATATTTATATGACCCTTCTTACTATTTTCTCTACTAATGCTATCAATATTTATGCTGGTTAGCTGCTGCTGCTGCTGCTGCTGCTGCTGTTGCTGCTGCTGTTGCTGTTGCTGTTGCTGTTACTGTTGTTGCTGCTGATGCTCTGCTTTTGCTGCTGCTGTTGCTGTTCTGCTGCTGTTGCTGCTGCTGCTGAAGAAACGCACAGTTGTCGAGAGCGAACACCCATGAAACAGCAGCAGCAGCAGCAGCAGCAACAGCAGCAGCAGCAGCAGCAACAGCAGCAGCAGCAGGACGTTTGCTACCAAGACTACCAACAACAACAGCAACAGCAGCAGCAGCAGCAGCAGCAGCAGCAGGCGTGTGTATATTATGCATGCAGGTATAAATGGATTAGAAGTTGGCCAATCTGCTGTTATTGCTGCATTTGTTTGCATGCATAGTGTACTAGTAAGTATAAATAAATAAATAAATAAATAAATAAATAAATAAATAAATAAATAAATAAATAAATAAATAAAATATTAATAAATTAAATAAATAAATAAATAAATAATAGTAACAGCACTCCCTGTTGTTGCTGCTGCTGGTGCTTCCTTTATCTGCTGCTGCTGCTGCTCCTTCATCTGCTGCTGCTGCTGCTCCTTCATCTGCTGCTGCTGCTGCTCCTTCATCTGCTACTGCTGCTTCTCCTCCTTCACCTGCTGCTGCTGTTGCTGCTGCTCCTCCTCCTTTATCTGCTGCTGCTGTTGCTGCTGCTGCTGCTGCTGCTGCTGCAGGAGTTGAATGCAAAC